TCCTACACAGCCATCTTACCTAAGGATGGCTGAGCTAGCTACAGCGCAGCCATAGCCTCCAGGCCGATGGCTGCAATACACACAGGGCAGCCATCCTTGGTAGACATGGCTGGAGACGCACTACCGCAGCCATACCGCCCGCCTCGAGGTGAGCCCTCTTGGCTGAGCTGGCTTCATCGCAGCCATCTTGGGTAAGATGGCTGGGGGACAGCCATTTCAGCCATTTCAGCCATCTACTATGGCTGAAATGGCTGAAATGGCTGTCCCCAGCCATCTTACCCAAGATGGCTGCGATGAAGCCAGCTCAGCCAAGAGGGCTCACCTCGAGGCGGGCGGTATGGCTGCGGTAGTGCGTCTCCAGCCATGTCTACCAAGGATGGCTGCCCTGTGTGTATTGCAGCCATCGGCCTGGAGGCTATGGCTGCGCTGTAGCTAGCTCAGCCATCCTTAGGTAAGATGGCTGTGTAGGAGCCAGCACAGCCATTCTGGTGTCACATTCCGAGGTTAGCCCCGTCTAGGGCTGTGGAACCAACCATTGCTAAATATCTCCCTTATCTGTTTGCGTGTAAGCTGATAGCTGCAAAGTGTGCCGGTGAGATCGGTGTCCTCACAGACACAAGTGCGTAGTGATTTAGAAAGTAAACGAATTCGCCGCGCGAGAATTCTCTTGACTGTTCTCTCAGAAATCAAGCTCGTGCCGATCTCCCGCTCTACACATGGAATTCCCAAGACACTCAGATCATAGCGAGTACTCGTAACAACCCGCCCCAAACTTCACGGTATCTGGCCAAACCAACACGGCCTGCATGTAGATTGTAGTACACACACAACACTGTACTATGGACTACGCTGGGGACGGCGAGGGCCACCCCGCGACCGCCTCCGCAATCTGCGTCGCGCTCTTTGTGATGAAGGAGAAGTGGTCGCCCGGAACCTTGACGGCCGTCGCGTGTGGCACGCGCTCAAGCAGCACGCCGGCGGTGCCGTTCTCGCGGATCTGCTCCGTGTGCACAAAGAGGACCGGCGCTCGCACCGGGCCGAGCGGCTCCGCCACGCGGTCGGGCAGCTCGATGAGCCGCACCGCGGCGGCGGCGGCGTCTTCGCCCGCATCCTCGAGCAGGGTGAAGAGCATCCGGAACGAGCCGGAGCGCTTCATCACCGCAAACTGCATGGCCTGCGCCGCCGAGCCGGCGCCGCCGCCCTGCGGCCCGAGCGAGGCGGGGCGCCCGTCCGGCGGCGGCGCGAGGCCCATGTTGAGCCGGATCTCTTCGGCCACCTCCGACGCGTACCCGCCCATCCGCGGCGGGTAGCCGTCGTCGCCGGCCGCCGGCCCGTCGAGCAGCACGAGCTCGACCGGCCGCCCCTCCGCCTCGAGGAGGCACGCCATCCAGTAGGCGACGCGGCAGCCGAGCGAGTAGCCAATCAGCCGCACCGGCGCCCCGCCCATCCACAGGCCCTTTGGCAGCAGCTGCACGTACTGCGCCGCGAGCTCTTGCATGCAGGCGCACCCGTCGAGAAGCCGCGTCGACGCATGGATGCCGAGGCAGCCCGAGGTTGACAGCAGCGGCGCGAGCGCGCGGAAGCCCCACAAGAGGCCGGTGAAGTCGTGGATGCAGACGGTCGGCGCGCCGGCTGGCGTGCCCTCGGGCTGGGCGATCCACGAGAGCTCGGGCGTGAGGTCCGGCAGGAGCTCGTACCCGTGCCCCGCCGCGAGTGTCTTTGTGGTTTCAGATAACCGGCTCCGCACGCTGCACCCTCGCGCCACTTCTCTGACCTGGCCGCGCTCGATCAGCGTGCGGTGACGCAGTTGTGTCATCGCTAAAGCAACAGAGCCGTCTCTCTTTTTCTTTTTTCTTTTTCCTTTTCTTTTTTCTTTTTT